TTGGCACAGTGCATGTTGAGCAACTCAGATCTTTATCCAGTATGTGTGCAAATCTTGGCCACACTGAGCCCGTCAGCGATACTCGGGAGACCAGCTGCCAATGGAAATTTGATGCATCTAAAATCTGCCTTCCTTTTCAGCGTGGTCTCTATTTATGGGAGCTGGCTGATGTGTTGGTTGAGTTCCAAGGGTTTTGTTGAAGCATTGTGTTAGGAGGACTATATTTATTTACCTTTTGTTCAGCAACATTAAGGATTCCTGATGACAGATTTGGAGCTTTGCACGGATTTGTGGATTGCTCGGAAAAGTTTGCATTCAGATCCGTTGTTACGCGTGTGAAAATCTATTGTTTTGTTTTTGTAACCCAGTTTGACATCAATGTCTAGTCTGGAAAAACCATTATAGCTCATATGAACAAAAAAGTTATACAATTCATCATTTAAAAAAAATACCTGAAGTCATCTTCTCACAAATGTTTTCCTGTAAGAGCGTATTGGGAACAAACAAGACTCAGTTTGTGCTGTTCATTCCTTTTTGTTTTAATGTTTAATCACCTTGTAGCCCATAGCTCTTCCAACTGTGTCTGTATGACTCTGTAACTTAAACTAAAAGTATCTGTGTGTTCTGAAGCCTATAATAGCTGTGGTGGGGCCCACATAAACAAGTAAAAGTCACTCATCAAGGCCAGGTGAAAAAATATTGAAATGACTTGCAGCTCACTAAAGCAGCTCACATGGTACATTTAGTTTAAAACTGCAGAATTTCTCTCTTTTAACAGATTTGTTTTTGCAAACTCAATAACTACAAATTCATTTCAGACATTTCTTCTTTGACGTAGCCCTGATCGATATTCCTGGTGTTCATTTCCGTGTGTTTTTCACATTAATAGCCTTCCATTAAATGCCTGGATGAGAGACCTTTAATGCAATTTGATAGAAGTCTCTGAGAAAATGACCCGACTTCTCACTTGATCGATTACCTCGGTAATAAACATTGCAAACATGAGTTTATGGTCTCAATTGCTAATTTCAAGTCTTCTTCAATACCGCATGATGTTTATTTACCAAATGATGGCCTCATTTAGAGTAAATTAGAAGATAAAGCAGGTGGCGGTTAGAGGAATGAATGCAAAATGGTTTTCATTGTACCCTCTAGGCTTCAGAAAACAACAAAAAACACATATTTAGGAAAAGTTGTGGGCTGAAAGGCGTTTAGTTTTTAGTTAAACATTGTAATTTGCATTATAAAAACCCAAACAGTCTGTGAGACCGTCTTGGAGGTACTAGTGTTAAGCACAGACACTCTTATGCAGCTACCAATAAGGGTCAGTCATTGCAGGTGTCGACTGACTGGCGGTGCTGGTGACTGATCACTGCAAGTCTTAACAGCTTCTTTCTGTGTCCATTCATCATATTTAATTCAAAACAATGCGCTTCATTTTGTAAGTTATTGTGCACTTTTTTGTGTTCATTCCCGGCTGCAGTTCAAAACGTAATACAAAATAAAGTACTGTATCAAAAGCTCAAAGTTAGAACTCGTAACATGTTGTCTATTGCTCTTCAATGGACAATGTTACAATTCACGGTATGGTTCTCCCATCGGTGCTCACGATTGCCCATGGGTGCCTGAGCTCCCGATCGTCCACGCAATCAGTACCAATGTGTTGTGCTGTGGTTCATGCGATGGCTTCATTTGAAAGTGTACTTTACTGTCAAAGAAGTGTTTTGGGCCCATTGTATGTTCATCTATCGTAAGATGCCGTCTGTATTCTTTCTTAAAAATGGACTTAAAAATATTTACTTTGTGAGTGCACGCATGTGTCTATGTGGGTGTGTACGTTTGTAGATATCCGTGTGTGTTCGCAAGGACCATTTTTAGTTTGCTTTCAGAGAAAAAGTTTAAAGTTGGCTCTCAACATTTTGTTTGGATGGGTTTCTTTTGGACCGCCTGACAATGCCTCTGTCTGGATATTGGACATGAGTGATTGACGATCACACTGCTTATTGTGCTTTGGTCCGTCTCAGACAAGGGAACCAGCAATCAATATGAGGAAGCTGTTTTCTGCCCTCTCCTTGGGCGGCCACAGTCTGGCATAATGAACATTCTTAGTTACTAGATTTACAAAACAGCAGTCTGCACCATGTTTGTACTTTTTTTTTGTTTTATCCCATAAGGAACAAATCTGATTTCTTTGTCATTGGATGCCTCAAGCTGAGAGCAAAAACATCAATTTCCCTTTAAAGTTTGTGGAATGAGGTTTAGCAGTGCATTGCTATGCTTACATACCCTAAATGGGGTTGGCTACTAGACGGAGACATAGATTGTGTGGCGCTGTGTAATTTCTCCCCTGCTAGATGGCCCTATTTTCTACTGCTTATCAGAAACAAGAAGAAGGACGCAAATAAAAAACACCACACGTCTCTGCAGGGAACGCAACCTCCCACATGCAATAGCATTACCACAGGTCAGGTGGAGGGAAGGAGATTGGAAGCATTTGAATGGTGTCCCAAATAAATTCAATTTGGACAGGTTTTTATGGAGGGGAGGGTGTAGTGCTGAGCTGCTGGCCTCATTACCTCGCCTGGCAGAGGGACTGTTTGTTTACTGCTGTGCTGATAGGATAGGCAGGGTGGTTCCAGTTACATGATTTGTTTTGATGGAACTTTGTACCTTACTGGAAAGAGAATTTAATAAAATGTCCAGTCACACAAGAGAAAAAAATATATAGTTGGATGACAATTAAACTACCTACGAAACCAAACCAAACTAAACATGCGTTATCAGTATTGTGTTTATAAAAAGCAAAAAAACTTAAATCCAAATACACTAAGAGTCTTCAGCCATGCTAAGCAGCTCTGTGGGGCTGTACTTAGCAAAGAGGTGCTTTGAGCTAAATGCTAATGCCAACATGCTAACAATGACTATTTTCATCATGTTCACCATCCTGGTTAAGCGTGTTACCGTGCTAACATTAAAGTAGCACTAAACACAAAGTGCTAGAGCTAGACTGATGAATCAGCCGATATAGCTTATTGCAGATATATTATGTGTTCATAAGCCGATAATTTCAGTACAGCAATGTCCACGTTTATTTGAGGCATTTCAGAAATTGTTTCTCCATTCAGCAGAGAGCACTGACAAGTTATTTTTTTAATAACCAAAAAAAACAAATTATTGGACAAATTGAAATTTGGACCTGATTATGGCACAACTTATTACGTTTTCTTATTAAGTATTCATCAAAAGTCGGATGTTGTTTCAAAACCAAACACCTTTTTATTTATATATGGCCACTGGAGTGTTTTTAACAGCAAATGACATTACAGCTTATGCTAACATTAGTGCTAACTTGGTTGGTAGTAAGTCAAGTAAAGAACACATATTTTCAGAACCTTTTTCAGAACTATGTAGTCCTATTGCTTCGCTTACGTCTCTCCAATCCCTCACTTTTTTTGTTCTGTCTCTATACTGCAGGAGTTGCAGGGCTTTGTCCTCCATTTGTGATCATCGGTGACATCAGGAGAAAGTTAATGCTAATAGGCTTTTGCAACACAACATTGCACGAAGTTTAAATACTTCAACTCGTGCGACGAGTTGCCTGGTTTCAAATTTGCGTCTTTGCAATAATTGCATGTAATCTTGCCGCAAAAATAAATTGTGTTTGGCCTGAACACACCTTTACAGTTCATCTTGTGGGGGACATGAACATCTGTACCAAATTTCATTGCAATCCATCCAATAATTGTTGAGACATTTCTCTTAAAACCACAAATGTCAACCTCATAACAGTGTCAGATGAAAAGTCAATAGGATTCATCCTCTGGGGAACATGCATACATGCACAGATTACATGGCAATCCATGCAGTGGTTGTTGAGAGATTTCAGTCTGATCTAAATTGGTGTATCTATTGACCGACAAAGCAGCACTACTACAATCCATAGAGCCACACCACAGGCCTGGCTAAAAACCTGACCACATTGATATTTCAATTTATAACCTCATTTCCGACCTTTCCCTTTTCGTCCCTTTTATGTTGCCGATCTCCTCTCTGTGCTTGTATAGTGAATAATCAGTCCCCCAGCCTTGGCCAGCTGCAAATCCCTTTGGACAGAGATTCCTCTTTTCTCTGTGGGTTTTGAAGTAACTGCAACTCTACAGGCAGGCATAACAGAGACCTGTTTTAAAATCAGCAGGGATGAGGCCCGAGAAAGACATTTCCCAACAGCACACTGAGATAGTGATTTGACATCGGCAACGGTGGTTAGTAGAGCTCTAATGTCACCTCTATCCCGGATCGGACCAGGCTAGCTTTTATGAACAATAATGACAGTGGAGAAGTCGATTCAGAGCTAATTCAGGTCGCAACGGTATCTGTTTTTGACAATTACGGATAATGGTGCCCCTGTCTTTGTCCAGCAGAATATTCACCATACAGCTCTGCAACACACTGCTCGATCTGCTGCAGTGCAAACTGTTGCTGTGTGCTGCATCCTGTGACATTTCTGCTGCTTCCACTCACTGTTCTCCCACCAGCTGCCACCTGCAGCTCCCCACTGGGGGGATTTAGTCTCAGTACAAAAAAACCCACCTGTAAGCTTGTGTCTACAGCATAAATTGTATTTTGAGTTCTTTTCTAAAAAATAAAAAAGTAGTAAAGTGGCTCCCCTGGCTTTACAATATTGTATATTTAATTATTAATATTTCAGTCTAAATGTTAAGTGAGGTCACACAGTTCACGATTTGCCGTTAACAAATCCCTCACACAGCTTCCATCTGCCACAGAGTATCTAAAAACAGTAAGCTGTTAAACCACACACTGGAGTCTTTTAGAAATTATACAGTCATGCAACTTTACCTTATCTCGAAGCCCGAGGTTAGAGTTTGATGTTGTGACCTAATTTCTCCCCCCCCCACACACACACACACACAAAAATCCTTTTCACAGAGCGCCACAGGAAGCAGAGTACTAAGTGTTTTTCTATCTTTGTATCCCTCCAGATGGAGCTCAACCCGAGCTCTTCATCTTCAATGAGCTGTGCGCCCTGAAGGACGAGCCAGGGCCTTGCAAGGCCATTAAGGACCGACTCTTCTTCAACGTCGACACGGGCCGCTGCGAGAGGTTTGAATATGGAGGCTGCGGGGGAAACGCCAATAATTTCGAGACCTTGGAGGCATGTGAGGAAATGTGCGTCGTCTCAGGTGGGTACGACCCTTTAGCTGACACTTTCAACTACTTTATCAATCGGTTTCTGACATGATTCCAATGATTCGCCTTGATGTTTGGTGAACAAATTCAACTGCCTCCACTTGAAGTTGGCAACAGTGAACACAGACCCTGACATCATTGATACAAAGGGAGTATTTTGTACAATCACAGTACATGGGATGAAGATGTATTATGGCTTTGCATTGTTATGTTGTTAGCAAATGAAGAGTTTTGTTCTTCATGGACTGTTGTTCCTCATTAGATTTTATTGCCACCTTGGGCATAAAATCCTATTACAAAGTCATTTTCTTGGTATGTGGCTAAAATGGAATATTTACTGAACTGATGATTAATTGAAGTTAAATGAATTGATAATAACTAGCGATGCCCTGATCAAGTTATTATTTTGTTTTGCCTGTGATCCCGATCCAAGTCATTCAATATGGAATGTACCGAGTTGTGATCCAATACTTCTATTTTCTTAGACAATACAGCTGCACAGTGCACACTTCAAGCACATTAAAGTTATTACATCAATCCAATGTATATGCTTGACAGTTTTGAATGGATCTGCATTGCATTAAGAAAAGCAAATGCCTGCATCAAAGTTTATAAACCATCCCTGTAATCTTTTTGGCCTCGTTGCCCTGTCGAGGGAACCTCTGTTTTTCCTTTAAAAGTGGCCTCCAGTGTTTGCTGCTTCGGTGGAGCCTTTTGCATGAGTTACCTGAAGGAACTGTGTTCCGTTAAGTGTTTATTTCCGTCGTCTCTACACGTTTTGCGAGGAATACATTAATAAATGACTCTCATTGCTTGGCTGCGGTGCCTTTTTTGCACTTGCAGTGGCGTGACAGGGATGGCTGTCATCGGCTGTCCACTGCTTCCTGCCTTTGCTGTCCGCCGTTAAGCAAGGCAACGGAACTATTGGTTAAGGTCAGAAAAAAAGATCACTGTTTCTGTTCAAATAATATCAACCTAACCGAACAACCGTAAGAACATAACTAGCGCAAATGAATATCCGCCTTTAGCGGACTATTTTACGTTACTTAACAAGCATAAACACACAGGACACAAACAGAGGTCTCCTGGGTGAAAGTTCTGTGTTTGTTTGACGCCAACACCACCTACACGTTTTTGGTGGACTTTCTCGCTTGGTATACTCGTTGTTATACCATGTAACTTTCAATAACGGCAATAACTTTATATAATACGTCACTTGCTCTGTGCATTGCTTGTTTCAATATCATTGCTGACATTGCATTGTCATTGCTCGGTCAGAATGCAAACAGAAACATTGACATTCAACGTATCCATGGTTTGCAGGAATGTACAGTGCAACCGCCACAGTGTGCTACACAGGTGTTAAGCGACTCAGGTAAATGGATACACGCACACAAAACCTCAATCATGGCTGGCATGCAACATTGAATTTAGATGTTTTATAACTATGCGAGAGAGCCTGAGGGTGACTGAAAGTAGAGGGTTGAAGTTCACTGCGAGTGCATCTGAATATGACTAATAAGTGGACTAAAAGTTGCCGTGACAGAACGCGCTCGTTGGTCTTTGCTGCACCTTCACTAATCAATCGTTGGTTGGGCGATACCTGCGAAGTGCAGTCTTCGCAGTGCAGGGATAAATTGTGTCACTCACCACGCCACACTTAGCTTTTGTGACATGTCAGTAATGACACTGCTGCTCTTGAAAAGCAATCAATGGATAACACAATTAGACCTTTCACCCGTGGGAGTTGAATTCATCCACAACAAGACGAGCTGGTTTGCTTCAAAGGCACTTCAGGTTGATGCTGGGTTATTAGTGTAAAACGCTATGTCCACAACAGGAAATACCTTTCTCTCTTATTTAACAGTATGTAATGATATGTCAAGAAAACAATACACCTTTAAAACTCAAACTTGTCACAACATGAAATGTGCCCTTGCGTGAAAGCAATGGCACATATATCTTGAGTATTTAGATGGCATGTTATTCTGTGGTGTGACAAAGTGCTTTCTCCCACTGGCAAAGAATAACCTTCACCTTCGTAATGCAATGCCATGACATATGTCAGACAAGAGGACCATCAATTAATTAGCATCTTGCAGGCATCGCCATAATGCAGTAGGTTCCTGGGTTTTGTGTTCCGTCATCAGTCTCCACCCAAACAAATCTGGGCAGTAAAGACGAATCTGGAGTTTCTGGCTCCAGCTGAGGTGATATTGAATAAAACTGCTCGGACGGAAATGTGAAGGTGACTGTCAGATATTAAAAGCTGGTCTGAGTGTACAGTTTTACCATAAAGAAAATGGCATTGCATTAAACAGAGCCATAAAACTTGCATTGGTTCCATGGCATTTAAAGGCCAGTTTGCAGGAAAGCATAACACCTAGGAGTGGTCGCTTTTATCTAAATTGAACCCGCTTCCATGTGTGCATCCACTTTTACTGGGCTCGGTGGTGACTTTGTCTCAACGAACAAAGTCAAAACTAGAACGGAAAGATAAACACTGTCCGATTTGGCTCCAGTGAGTTCACACTGAAAAAGTGCTTGTTACGAGTCTGTCCCTTTGTTTGTATCACATGCACGCGCACACGAGCTACGCACATTCCAACAGCAGGTTTTTTGTGATTCTGCTGATGACGATCAGTGGCGGTAATACGCAAAAGACAGACGAGAAGACTGCGAGCCATCAAACAGATGTATACAACACAGGATTCACATACAATGTTTGGGTCAGGTAAACACAAGTTTCTGTTTGTTTACAAAAAAATCGTTTCAGGGTATCTTTGAAGGACCTCAATACAAAATTCAGAGCATATCTTTGCCTCACCACGGCTCTCAACATCGCGGCTGCTCATAGCTAACGGCGCTAACAGTGCAAACAACGGCAGGAGGTTTACAGGAGGAGGAACCCGAGGATAAGCGATATGCTTCTGCGCCGTCGTCGGACAGGACGCCGTTATCAGTTGCAACTGCTGTATAGTCATAAGCAAACAAGTTCGGGCACACTCACATGCACTAACATGCACTGAAGTGATTTTGGCCTATAGTTGCCACACATGTTTTTGCAACTTCTTGGATCATCATGTGATGCAGACTAGCCGAAAAAAACTCTTCTTCCCATCCACAATGATTGAAAAGAAGCAGCTGTAATATATTTTTCTGAGCCGAAATTACATTTTATTATCAGAAGCGTGAGGAGTTTTTTATTTTATTTTTTTAATCGCATGCGCCCAGTCAGGTTTCAAAGGAATGAATGGGGTGCCATCTCTGCGCTCCGTATCCACTTCTCCTTAATGCATCCATGGTGATTTAGCTACAGAAAGGAAAAAGTGATAAATCCTTAGAAACACACTTTGCTTTCTTTTTGTCAAGTTTAATTGACATGTCTTTCCAAAGTCGCATATTTTATCATTGCCTATTGGTACACAAGTACATGTTTTGTTGGGAAAAAGCAGTCACCTATACTACAAAGATTGGCATGTGGCAGATAGCAAACACAATCAGAATGCAGTGTGGACACCGCTGTATTTTACAAACAACAGACATGATGGAGATCGCTGCAAACAAGCCATTACTGAGACTATTAGTTAGCCTTGAGCTCCGTTGCAGTGCAATTAATGTCTCACTGATCTTGTCTGGCTTATTAGATCTGATTAATTTGTAAGTTGATTTATAATTGAACTCAATTTACAACAGTCTTTTCATTTTCAGTGATTGAGACTGACTTTTTAAAACTTTTCCCGTACAATATGTTGAATGTTTCTTTATAAATGGTAGATTTATGCATTCGATTCTTACCTTCATTACCTTCTTGTATGCACCAATGTATGTTGGAAATGTCTATATTTATGTAAAGGAAAACACAAAGTTCAGGCACCAGGTGACAAATCAAAACATGAAAATATAATGGAATAAAATAGTAAGGCTCTCAGGCCTACGGGTATCGCTTTCAAACATGTATTCTCCTTCTCTCATATAATGTTTCCTCTGCTGAGTCAAACCTCATGTCGGCATGATTCATACTTTTCTCCTCTTTCATGTCTTTTGTTTGGGGAAAACAACTCTTAAAAGTGCATGCGCCTCTTGTTAACATCAATGATGCATTAATCAATTAATTTATTAACCCCTGGACTTAAATAACTCAGATGTGTCACGCCCGGTCTAGAGGAAACCTGAGCGCAGCATAACAATGAGTCTCCCTCTCTCCCAATAATGACCAGTGCTGCTGCCACAGTGCCACACTGTACAGTCCACAATATGTATTTATTTAGAACAGTTTGCAGTAGCAGTAAGCGTCAGGGTGAGCCTGGCCCGAAACAATAAACAAATCTATCTTTATGACTATTATAACTTACCTATTCCCAAAATAAACAAAACAAAATACAGGCAGCGTACCTACCTCCCCAACAGATAAACAGGAGGGAGCAAGATTGACAAAAAGGGCTTCTCACTCCTACAACTACCCGGACTGCCTTGAGGCTACATGTTACGCATGGACAATCTGATCAGTACCTCCCCCCCACCCTAAGGATCAGCGACCCCCATGGCAGTGCAGCACGGCCTGGTTGGGAGCTAGAGCGAAAAGACAGAGAGCACCAGCCTCCACAGGTTCCTTCTTAACTCAGTCCTAATCAGTCCCCCAGTCCAATCACCTGCAACGCAACAGGTCAAAATCACAGACCCAATGTAAACAGCACCACCCTCAGGCAGGGAGGTGAACAACATTCCTGTTCATTATCTTATCTTATGACGCTGTGACCATGTATTTCAGAAAGAATTCTCCTCATGTTCATTTCCCACATATATGTGTTCTGAGAAGTCGTTATAATTTTGAGGAAAAAAAATTATGTTGCAAGAATAATGTCGTTATTCAATTAGTTTAAAGTCATAATATTCAAGGAAAAAGTAGCAATATTCCAATAATAAATGTGTAATTTCCTTAATTTGTGAATTTTGTTTTCAAATTAATAGTTTGAATTATTTAGCAAGAAATGTTTATCAAATTTAATGTTATTATAATATTTATATTTTGGATGTTTAAAAGCAAAAGCTTATTTGGACAGGCATTGCCCCCAAAGCACCCCCCCCCCCCCCCCCCTCGTGCCGCCAGCACCCCATGTGATGACACAGCCACTTAACAAGAACACTCTTCTAAAGGTCACACACCTATGTGAGCGGCATTCTGCCGTACTGTGTGGGAAACCTTTGCCTCCTATCTCTGCAAAGGTTTTTGCTCTCCAGCCCTGATGCTTCACTGAAACCCCAATGAGTCACAGCCTTTGTGTCCCACATTCCCCCTTTGGTCCTCTGTCCCCTTTACAGCTCTGCCTGAAGAGGTCAGAGACAGCAACACAGTGTTTCTCTCTGACAGTTGCACTTTTTTTTTGCCCTTAGCGCAGGGCTTATGCTCAGTCTGTGAGCCCAGACCAAAAAAAATAATAAGATGAAGAAAAAGAAAGGTTAGGGAAGGAAAAAAGGGAAGAAAAACACAAACAACCGAATGTTGCCGGAGGTGACAGAACTTGGCAGATTATTAAGTAAAAAATGTGAGCCTGCTTTGTGGAGCTGAAACATCGAGTTGATTAAGAGATTAGTCAATTGACAGAAGATGAATCAAAGACTACTTTGACAGTTAATCGTTAAAGTAAAAAGTTATAGTTCCAGCTTCTTAATGTTTTTCATCACCTAAGGCAGTGGGATCTCAACCGTTGCAAAGACATTTATAGCTCATAACCTGTCATCACATCAACATCTCCCACAGATATGCTCTGATGAATAAATGTGAATAAATAAGGCTCTGTTCATGGTGACAGTTTAGTTTCAAGATGCTCCAGACTGTGGATTTTAGATGTGTTCCGTGACCTTTTTCTCTCCCCCTGACGTGCTGGAAATTCCCCGTCAGAAACAATGTTATTTTACCCTGTATCCACAACCACCTGGAGATCCACTGGCCTAATGTTAAGTATACCGACAATCTAGGGGCTTTGGGATCTGAAAAAAATAAGCTTTTTGAAGAGTAACTCTCACTCTCCTTAGAGCTCAGCCTGCAAACATGGACCTTTAACACTCTGCTACATTGGTGCTTTGATCCCACTATGTCTATGTGGCACTGTGCGATATGCAAACAATAGCACTGTGATAAAGCAATCAGAAATAGATTTTCTATATCTGGATAGGCTGATTTTGCTGCCGAGGACAGTGTCTTTCTATGTGATTAGATTACGTCTGTCTCCATCCAGTGGCAACTGTTATTTAGTGCAGTCTAAACATTGTTAGTTTGCAATAGATCCGCGGTACATTGTCATGAAATATCACCTTTCTCATTCCAAAGGGGCCAGAATATGAAGACAAACATGAACATATGCATGTTCATTTGCTGCTCACAATCATCTGAGCCTGACAAAAAAAGGCCAAAACTCTCTGGAACGATGGTCCGTCTATTTTACACCCAGCGTTTGAAAAAAGAGCTGACCGATAATTCTCCTCAAAACACAAATCACCTTCACAGCTCTCATAGAGAATTGTGTTTCTGAATTATTCATTACTGCATTGCTCCACGGAGAGCGCCAGAGTACTCTTTGACACGTCTCTTTGCCCATGCTTTTAAGTCAAAGTCACCTCGTAAAACGCATCTAGATGTTACAATGATAGCCTATTTAATCACCGTCACCCCTCAGTAGTGTGGTTTTTCATTGACTTACAGGATAAACCAGATAGTGAGCGTGTAGCATGGTGTAAGACATCCTCTGGCAGCTGTTGGGACACGTTGCGTTTAGTCAGAAGTCTCAACAGAATTCTAATTTGGCTACTAACAAAGGTGATTGATTTTTTTGTTGTCAGTTTGTTAGCCAGTAAAGTTCTTGTTGCAAAGCCTTGATGGCTACATGTCCTATAGAAGTTATGAGAGCTTAAAGTGATAGTTTGCATTATTTGAAGTGGGCTTGGATAAGGTGCTTATCCATAGTCGGTTTATAACCTACAGTAGTAGCATTGCACTGATGTGGACAGGGGGAGCACCTAAGGCAGCCTTTTCTGACGGGGGACTGAAGCCGTTATCAATGCAATGCTGTCATCAAAGCCACAAGACTCCTTCGACAAAAACTGTAAGTAGCTGTTGGAATACATTGACTATGGAGCCTACCTTATACAAACCCACTTAAAGAAAAACAACTGTTGCTTTAAAGCTAAAATCTAATAACGTAAACGCTACATAAATAGAAGATTATAGCGGTGTTGAAGACAGATATTAAGTAAACAATCTACAGTGTGGCAGTCCCCTCAAATCTCCGAATTATTAATTTGTTTTGTATATTGTATTTGAAAATGTAGTGTAATCTATTCATATTTAAATGCATTAAAATACCTGCCCCTTTATGTTCCTTTAACTCTTGGGCCTCACTTTAAAAAATTTGCTCTGATGATGTTAGAGGACAAAAAGTCTGTATAAATAAATGTCCTTGATATTATTATATATTGATATTATTTTCCACTTTCACAGAGTTAGATATTTAAATCAACTTCAGTAGTGATCAAAACTACCAAATCAATTTCAGAATTTTAACCCCTCAAATGGTCGGTTGTCCGGTCTGGGACTTTAACCCTTTCAAAGTGTCTTTGCGGTTCATGGAAAATATTTGCAATCTTATTGGTTGTCTTATTCAGCTTTCGGTTGTATTTAGATCCACCCTCTCCTGTCAGTTCTGGTTGCAAAAAAAACGAGATGGTGACAGTCAAAAACCAAGATGGCGACGGCCAAAATGCCTAACCCGAGGCTTCAAAACCGCAGTCCAAAAACCAACGGATGACGTCACGATGACGACGTCCACTTCTTGAATACAGTCTATGATTCAAACCCAACATTCTACTGCTCTATATGCACTCTGCATCATTTTAGACACATCTCTCCAAAATACAGCCTGGCATAGTTTGGTACTTTTGGTGGATTTGATCAAAGTTTGGGTTCACAGCATGAGGTTGTACTGACGAGGTTTAAGAGGTTTACTTATTTATTACATCGCCTCAACAACCTTTGGATTACACTTATAGAAGACAATGCCTCATCGATGTCATTTTAAATGTGCTGTAATCATTAAGTACTACATTCACAAACCTTCCACATCACAGACATGTGAAGAATCGTGTAAGTATCAGGAGATAGAGCTGCACTATTGTTTGATAAATAAATCATTATCCATCTCTGTGGGTGGACGCCAGTACACATGCCATGGTGGGATGCACACTCTGCTGTTGAAAAACGTCAGCTAGTCACACCTAGTCAGGCTGCACCTGTCTTGGCTAATAATGACATGAATAAAGTTAGTTTGAAACAGTAAACTGGAAGTTATGCGTTTTACACTATGGTTGCCATCATGTTACAGACTCAAATCAAGCATCAGCCTGTCACTAGCTTGAAGAAGTTTTTTTTTTTTTAGGTTTCGTGACGGCTTATTCAATGAATGGGACCTGACAACCCTCCACAACAACTCTGCTGTCGAGTGCTCCACGCTGCTGCAGGTGTTGATAACATTTAAAGCTACAGATTTCAGATTGAAGAGAATCTGACAGCAGTTTGTCTGACGGATTCAAAGTACGAATAATCTCTAACTTTTAGATTTCCCTTCCAAACGTAAAAAGGTTGGAAAGTAATAAGAATTGCTATCAAGGAAACAAACATGCACTATTACAGCAACCTTACGTCAACTCTGCACGATGCAAGATGCAGGATTTAGAGCTGCAATGCCCTGATCCCAATACTCCAAGACCCGAGGGTTATAATGTATGCGACGAGCGCTAAGAAGTGAACATGGGGAGTTAGAGCTGAGGTAAGAAGTAGGAAGAGATGTGCCAGAAAAGAAAGCAGAGAAAAAAGACAGAGGAGGTGATGTGGTTCACTGGGGAACACAAGGAAGTTCTTGCTGTGAGTGTTTAAAGAGTGTGAGTGGGTCTGAAAACTGAAGAAAATGTTACAGTACAGCTGTGGGGACAGGAAGTGGGCCAGCTGTGACCCCAGAGGCCAGTAATTGCAAACTGTTGATTCCAGATTTCAGTTATGTTCAAAACAAAAATGACACTGGTCCATGCCGAGGCACTTCAAGCAAGCCTTGTGAATTTCCACCCCCCGCAATGAGGCCAGGACATGACGGGCACTGATGTGGTTCTTGAAGCGGCGACTCCGATAGGCAGTCAGCGCGCAAAGCGGGGTTCGCCAAAGAGAAAAAAGGATGGCACTTGATTAGCTGGCTACACTTCCGCAAATTGTCAGTGGGCGAATGCGTGCTTGTGATTGGAGGAGTCCAGTAGAGGGCGGGGCCTGTCGGAGTAAGAACTGTGGACTGCTGGGCAATTTGATGTGTGAAGAAAAACAAATAAATTTAAGACATTTGCTCTTAATTTATTGAGCAACAGACTCAATCATTTTTTACTTTCTAACAATTGTTCTCTCTCTCTCTCTTTCCTAGATGACAAGAACCCGTGTCACCTAGCTGAAGCTCCTGGTCCCTGTCGAGGGCTGGTGACACGCTACTTTTTTGACAGCCAAAGTCAGCATTGCAAACATTTCTTTTACGGCGGCTGCTTCGGCAATGCCAACAATTTCAGGAGCATGTCTGAGTGCCAGGTGAAATGTCAGAACCCAGGTAGGCCAGGTTGAACACAGCTGCTGCACAACAAATGCAAACTCATTTCAGAGCGGTTACATAACCAAATTAGTTCTACCTCAGAAAATTTACTTTTGGATGAATTGTTTAGCTGGCCGTGAAATCACATTTCACCTGGATTTTGCATTTAAGTCCTTTAAAATTGACCAAAGCACACCCAATTATGCTGGACTTAGGCCCGATTTAAAGTCATTTAGAGATTGAAATTATCAAAGAATATAATGAGAGAGTCGCTCGACTGTGATCAGTGTACAGAAAATCCATTGGAAAAGCTTCTTTTTTTTCATGGATAACAATTTCAGATAGAAGACTTTGTCTGGTTTCATTAGTTTTTCCAGACCAACACCCTCTCTGGTCTGATACGAATGAAATTAAACTTATTTGAATTATGATTGATCGCTGGGATTTAATGTGATCTGTTCTAAATATAGGCATGAATTCATTGGATTTACGTTGGCCATGGAGACACCGTCTCAGTTGGTACTTTTTCTTTTTTTCTTTTGTCAATATAGCAAAGCCCACCGAGGCACCAGAACTGCACACACTGTCTGCCAGAAAATCCGGTGTTGTGCAGCCAACCATGTTAACTGGTAAGACTAAATACATCACACTTGAAGTATGTGTTTAAGTTTTGTTGCAAAAAAAAAAGTAACCTGTAAGACATTCTAAAAATTCCATCAACCCCTAATCACTGGGTTTGTGTTGAATCATCTCAAAACCCTTTACATTACATATTTGGTTTATGTGTAATTCAGGTTTGAATTTTATGCTTATTTGTTGAATGTCTTCCTCAAAATCAAATCAAATTACTCTATAAAAGAATGGTTCAACATTTATGGAATACATTCTTTTAATTAAAGAGAGATGAGCTTTGGCGGCGGGGCCGCAGGTTTAAACCTGGCACTGCTGCGACACAGGTCACTAACATCATCAGGTTCTAACATTGGGTTTGAATCTGAAAATGCCAAACAGGTGCTTTTGCTTTTCGCTTTGACACCAAATCCTCAAACATAGTCTTTGTTAGTCAACACTACTTACTCTCTGCACGTTAATAATAGATCTTGCAAAGGTCTGGCTCCACACGTTATTCTGGTAAAGGAGAAAAAATGCTCTGGCTTTTTTTGCATTATCCAATCACGATCGTCTTGGGCAGCGCTAAGCCCAGGAGGCAGAAATGTTGTATTTGCAAAATAGCAGCAAGAAAGGGAGGTACGTAGCAGACACTTTCAGTTTGTAATTGTAGCGTCATCCCACTAAGTATTGATAACAGGTTTAGTATTTTACACATTAGACTGTTTTTCATAAATTTCATGAGGCAAAAATGGCAAAGCAAAACAATGGTGGGGGCGGTGGACAAGTAATGTTATCAGTGTATTCCTGAACACAGTGTAACACGACTAGCACTGCAAGCCTACCAAAGTCTTGTCGTCACAGTGAGGTTTCCAGTAAACTCGGTGAAGAAGGTGCAACTGTGGTCCGTCTCAAATTAGTTAACAAGACTCAATTTGTCATTTCCTTATTACCGTTTGTGTATTGATCAAACAAATCAGGTAAAACATGTTGATTAGTGAGCCTCAGAGGCGCTGTTTGGCAGATTTTTGAACTTCAGAGAGAGCCAGACTAGCTGTTTCCCCCGCTTCCAGTCTTTAAGCTAAGATAAGCTAGTCAACCCCCAGTTCTAGTTCTGTCCTTAAGACATAAGAGTCGTAGCGATCCCAAATTAAAATGACTGATCTCTTGATGTGTGTGTGTGTTTTTTTTTTCAGGGGAATTGATTGAACCTCAGGTGCAAGCAAATGACACTAATCAAGAGCCAAAAGGTAAGAAAGTATGACTCCAAATGTCAATATAATGTTAATGGAACCAACCCCTAACATGGTCGGTTCATGCGTTACAAGCTAGCTTACAGCTAATGGCGGTACAATTGCTACATTGCTAATTGTGGCGGTTAAACGCAAACTGCACAAACTGTTCTGCGTCATGGTGTGAGGCAAACGTTTGCTTTTTTTTTGTTTGAACACACGTTAAGAAGGAAAACTTTTTTCAGTTTGAAGAACATCAGAGATTAGCCGATTGTGTTGTTGATTACAGTTTTTAGTCCAGTGACCTTTTTAGTGCAGACACCAAGGCCCAAAGCCACAGTGCAGTGTTAATTCATTACAGAAATCCCAAGGCACCAGACATTTGGGATAGATTAACTTTTGTTAGTCATAATCACATCAATCATCCTGTCTTGAGAGTAGCAACCAGTCCATGCTGAATTCTGAGTTATGCTTAAACCTCAATGTAAGCTAATTTAGTTCATTCATTAAACCCTTGTGGGCTGCCAATAACTTAACTGTAATAAAATGAAATGAAAACTCAAGGTGCAGCGATGCATAGATGGTAGACAGCTTGCAAAATTGCTTCTGCTGTGCAAGGCAAAGGGCAGAAACAGAGAGCATCGGTGTCTGCATTTGTCATGTATTCCCATTTACTAATTTTCTGTGTATTATGATTGAGGGAGCATACATCACGGTTGTCGTGTTCCAAGGCTCTTTTGTGCCACAGCAGGAGACCCTGGCCTGCTTCCCTCAGCTCATTCAAAGAGTCATCATTATAAGAATCCAATTTCCGTCTTGTCAGAAAATGTTGAGAGGGACAGATTCAGGATGATTTAGCCTCAATAGCATCGCCTCCTTATCAATCAATTTTCGTTATTCCTTCGATGAGATCACAAAACGATCACTCAGAAACAATGCTGGCATGAAGGTAAAGCCCCTTAAAGTAACAATGAATTATTCAGATCTTAAATCAGACAGATTTAGAGGATAATCTTTGCTAATGATTCATGTCAACGTTTGTGCTTTTACTACTGCATTGAAATGGGGCCTTTGAATTTCATAGTCATAAAAGTTGCACAATTAGCATTATGGAATTGGCATACATCTTGAGTATGGTGTCATTCTGCCATGCATATACTGCGATGTTGAAACCAAAGACTGCCATCTTGTGGTTATAAAGTGATGTACACCTTAAGTGTCATTGGGAGAAGTGGAATTGTAGACTTTTGTGTCTGAATAAAATAAAATAAAAATTAATTGATTCAACCGTGCAATGTGGGCAACAGAGGGAAGTACGAGTTGGCTGTTTTAAGCTTGCAGCTCTCTGTCTCTCTCTTACAGAATTCAGGGTTTTATTCCGAAAATAGTAAATCAGACTCCAAAAGTTAACGGGGCCACAGCCCCTCTGGGCCCCGCTTCCGCGGTGCTACGACTGAACCAAATAATGGGGCTATCTTTTGGAGGTTTGTCAATGTGTGTATATTTTTTTTCTTTTAGTTCAGGTTTGAGCAAAAATGTTTGAGACATGGTACAAAATGTTGAGTAAAACATAATTTAAGATTTTTGTTTTTCTTATTTAATAATTGTTAAACTGAATAAAATAGCAATATAAAGAGATTTCTTCTTGTATTACATATGTCATAATGTCCCATGCTTTGCTACTATTGATGATAATAATATAAAAAATGTTGAACAACTTGCTCACGTTTTATTCAGTCCTCAAAAGCTCTAATTTTTCCAATTGAACCCCAACAAATGAAGTCATAGTGATTAGATAGTTGGACTTTTGAAGTTGTAGTGTTTGCCTATGAAAACCAATCACATTTGCTGAAAGAACATTCCTGTGTTTCTCACCATGAAGAAAGCTGGAGAAGAGATCAGAGAGGATAAGCTTACACAGCACTGTGGAGTCAATATAACAACTCACACTTTTTCAAATCTGTCCATTTCAGGATGAGAGCCTGCAGACCCTGGACACAATTATTAAGTCAGACTGAAGCTTAATGGATGAGGAGTTGGAGAAATAAATGTTAACATTGTACTTTTCTCCAAACCAAAGGATACATTGACTTTCAATGTTTTTGAACCAAAAATACTTTTCATAATGTTTGTTACGTAACAACAGCTGTAAACTCAATGTTTTCTGTTGGTTTCACACGGGACACAAACAGCTGTCTCCTGGGTGAAAGTCCTGTGTTTGTACTATGCCAATTAAAAGCAGTTAAAAGCTACGAGAAAGTTGATGAAAAGCAAACAGGCATGGTTCTTCTTCAGGAGCTCCACCCCCTTACCTGACCTGTAACACTGCTGGAATGGATCCAAGAGATCCAAATGCACCATGATATAACATTTAATGGATAACGTATGATATATATCATTTGAAAAATGAAAATAATTGTTCGTTATAGCCCCAATGTACTCTCTGGCTCTCACTTTCTGTTCCACAGCCTTGAACCCCTCCGAGCTGTGCTCCAGTCCCGTGGACAGCGGGACGTGTCAAGGTGCAGAGAAGAGGTTTGCATTCAACCCCAAGACCAAGAGATGCCAGATGTTTCACTACAGCGGCTGCGGGGGAAACGAGAACAACTTTACACAGCGGAAAGACTGCATCAGCAAGTGCAAGCGTAGGAATATTTTATTTATTTTCTATTCACTTTGAATTCATTACTTAGTATTGTTTAATTGTATAAAGTAGATGTACTGGCTGTAAGCATAGTACATATAGGTTTTTCATTCACAATACTTAATGATGAAATTAATATTGTATAATGTGGCCGTGTTCTGTTGCAGCTCATGGGAAGAGGATGATCCGAATAAGGAAGAAAAACATAAACAACATTGCCAACCGCTCGGTCTGAACACTCGGCTCTGCATCACATCCTGCACTACTGTGGAGCCACCTTTATTTATGTCCATATGTTATGTTCAGCTACACTCATATCTATTGTTTTGTAGTGCTGCGGTACTTGTATACATGGGACTTAGTGTACGTGATTTACCTTTGTAGTGACTGGATGCAATTATCATCCTTATCCACATTATTATCCAATATCACATTGACAAAAAAACACATTTGTTTTGCTGATCGTAGCAGCTCTCCACACCGACGCTCTCTGTGTCGATGCTTATGTATAAACAATATATTATGCTTTTTTTTTTTTTTTTATTTTATTTTATTTTTTTACAGTTTCAGGGCTCTGTTATTATCACACTGATATAAACATTTCACTGTAACTTTTATGGGGAAACATTAAAGCAATATTTTTTTTCAGTAACAAAATGAATGCTTCCAGTGCTATACAGTAACTGATGCTTCTCCACAAGAGTTTTGGTAGAGCTCCACTTGTGTCAATCAATGTGAACAACAGCATTAGCTTGGTGGCAATCCTGATCGACCACAACAGTACACAGAATGATCAAGATGACCATGTCACAGCTATAAATCAATGTGAACAAGGTAATGACTGTTTTTCTTTTGTCGGATTAAACATGAACACCTTTTGTTTTTTATTATTTTTAATCAATTGTATGCAGTTCAGTAAATCACTGTTGCAGTCCTGCTGGCGTTGTTGGTAAGGAGAACCAGGGAGGGGCAGTGTTGTGTAAAGTACGTTTTCAAAGAGGTCGTCAGCACTCTGTTGGCTGCATAGTATTCTCTTTACTGTATCTTTTTATAACCATGGTTGTAAAGAATTGGACTGTACGAGTTTGTATAATAAACTTTGATGATTTTCTCTTTCCTCTGGTTCTTTGTCTGATTTATTTCCCATCTGTCTGTTTGTATGCAAGTACAAAATGTTTAACATTACAAAAAAAGAAAGCTAAACAAAACATTAAAATAGCATGCTAATATAGAATATAGCTTTTTTCACATGAGGAAAAATAGTGTATGAAAATGCAACAACTCTATACTTTTAATGCGTTGGATTTTTTTTTGATAATTGATTTGTTAAAAAAAAAAAAGGATTCTGCAATTATTTGTTATCAGTTTCAAACAATACCTTGAAAGTAAATGTAAAGTCATTAAATGAAACCTGATCTTTAAACTTAACTTTGTTGGCCTCCCTTCTGGGCTGCAGTTACCACCGAGGTCACATCCTGTGTGTTTTTTTGTCAGGGAATCTGAGAGGTTATAAACTCATACAATCAACACTTCTTTATTTTAAGCTGATTCTAGGTTTTTTTTAAACTATTGCAATGTCATCAATCTTCCTGACAATTCTTTACTTCTGAGTCTGTTGCACATTGTCTTTTATTTAAATCTAATTAATGAATGAACAAAATACTTCAAACCAAACTCGCAGGTCTGTGTTAGCTCATGCACTGCGCTCCACTCGCCACTGATCCCAGGTCCTCGGCTGCAGGCTCCGGTGTGATGTAACAGGAAGTGGTGGGTTAGCCTTCCAACGTCAACCTGACAGCCGCCTCGTCTGCGCTCATTGAGCGCCGGAGATCCCCAGCGTTTGGTGCTCTGCGCTCAAGACAGAAGACACAAGCCCTGAGAGAATCTATTCCAGCGCTGCTGTTGGATTTGTAATTCTCCGGTAGGACTCGCCGAAACGAGAATTGTGTGCGATGCGCTGTGTTTACTTCCATGTTTCCATTTGAGCTCGGCGGTAACGTTGTAGCGGATTTAACGCAAAGTTGACAGTGCAATTTGTAAATCTCTCTCTGTGTGTGTGTGTGTGTGTGTATGGAGGTCATTTAACTGTATATCTGCATGGATTAGGCTCGAGGCATGTGCACTAACAGAATATTGCTGCGGTGTCCTCAGTCCATTAGAAACGTCGGGACAGCAGCGCGAGCGTCAGTAACCGGGGTCCAGTTAAGCTTCTATGCCCTTTTGTCAAGAGCTGCGCGTGAGAGCGACAGATGTGATGGGAGAATATAGTGAAACAGCGGTAATTTATTTTGTGGGGGTTTGTGGACGCCATCCAAGCGCGTCGTGCGTGATCACGTATATATGACATATAATGCACAGTGCCATTAAGATGAAATAAGATATTCCGAGCTACCCGTATCTGCTTTGTGGAGCTTTTTTTATGCACAACATGTGTCTGATTGTAAGTCGAGTGATGTATAAGGGGTTTACGCACGTGGACACTGTAGCCTACAGTGGTTTATTTATGGTACGCGTAAAAGCCGTTTAAAGTACGCAACCGCTCTGATTCCATTAGCACTATTAACACTATTGGCACATAAACTCAAATGATCAGTTTGAATATCGACTTGCATGCATGCCTGACTCGGCTATACAGCCAAGGATTGCTCCTGTACAATCTACTAGACTTGGCATTCATTCAGTAGATTCAGTAATCAATATTAAGGGATGACGCATACACACACACACACACACACACACACACACACACACACACACACACACGCGCGCAGCCTTTTTCTGATTGTTTGAACAGGAATGCAAAGGTGATTCAACTCCATTCATCAACGGGGGGCTTTGATGTCAGCAGTGGCCACTGGTTGATATATCGTCTGCATGGTTACATAAGCAGCATATTTGGACATACTGGAAGTTTGTGGGCTGGACAGTAAAAAAGAAAGAAAAGGAGAAGGGTGATGATGATGATGATGGTGATGTGTAGGAGGAGGATATGATGACATTGGTCACCACTGCGCTGATGAAAGATGCACTGGAGTGCCAATAAAGGGAGGTTGCAGAGCATGCAGGGGCAGATTGGTTGTTCACAGCCAAGTTTGTGGGCACAAGTGAACTTTTTTTTTCTCTGTCAACAGGTCGAATGTGATATTGCTGCAAGCTGACCTGCAGACTTCTCGTGGGTTTTGCAATGACATAGGGGCAGTGTTCCCAAATGGTGTCGTTTGATTAAGCGCTTTTCTGTATTGATGAATGGGAGAACGGCAATTATCACAAATCAGATTAATCCAGTCAACATGTGCTGGTTTTATACACTGCTTTGCCTTTTAAAAGTTTAAAGTTTCAAAGTGTTAACCCACCAAGAAGTAACATAAAGCCCCCCCCCAAAAGAAAAACAAGCGAAGAAGTGGTAAGATGGAACCACTAAAATAAGGAAAGTTTGGTTGAAAAAAAAAAAAGTCCCTGTGTTATTTTTTAAGAGTTTAACTCTTAGAAACCTCCAGTGTGCTCATCTGCTTCAGCGGGATTGTGTGGGTGTGGGTTGGATTTGATTGACAGTAGCCTTAGCTTCAAAGTGGAACGGTCACACAAATGTCATTGTATCTTCATTCAATTTTGATCTTCAAACTAGTGGGAAGAAAACAGCAGAGACACAAGTCCAGAAGTCTCCCACGGGACTTTGGCAGATTTATCTTTGCGCTCGTGTGGAAAACCTTCACTCATAATGAGAAGCTGGTTGAGAAAATAGGTTTCGAGGACCTTTGTTAAAGCGAAGCAGCGAGTCGTGAGCCGTTCAATCAGAGGCTTGAAGAAATAAAATTATCCAGCCATTCACAAGAAAAAAATATGGATGTTACAAGAAAGTCTGAAAAAATCATCTAAATTTTATGCAGCAAAAATATATATATTTTTTCTGCTTTCCCAGTCTGGTGAAGCATTGCATGACCCCTCCTCACAGTATGTCTCCACTGCATGTCAGGGACCACTACTATACAGCTTTACTTCTCTCAATGCAAAATGAATGTCGTGCCGCTTCTCTGATGCAAAATGTTGCCAGTGAATAGATGTAAAACATTTCATATGAATTATTATGCTTGATTGTAACTTATAACTTGTTAAAGGACACATGTTCAGGAATGCCAAAAACTTAGCTTAGTGTTTGTTTGTTTTTGTATTCACTGCCCATGCATGTCAGCCAGTCAGGACACTTTGGACAGCGGACACGTCAAAGCTGCCAGTTGGCAGCCCCGTCGGATGAGTCCGAGAGGCCTCTTTGCTCTGGAGTCCTCCAATCGCCCTGGCCTACACTAAATACATGAGCTGATTGTGCAGTGAGAATGTCATGCAACCCAACAGACTCAACCCCCAAACCGTCATGCCGTGTATTTACTGCACGAGTCCAGAAAACGGCTATTAAATGTAAAGGTCTCGGCCACATAGCTCCCAAAGCCCTTTGCTCATCTCCATGGTACGGTGGCTCTCTTCCCTAAAGCGATGGCATTTGGGAGGTTGTGCCAGTGGAATCTCATTCACACTGTATCTGACACTGACAGAGGAGCTGTGTGGGGCATTGGGGGTTGGTTGAATTTATGATTCCTTTTTGCAGTCAATCAGCGAAGGGGTTGGTTTTCTTTCCTCCTTCCATTTAGGAGGAGTTGTTGTGATAATGGATGGCAGTTTGTAGTGATTGCGTGTGCTGCGTGTGTTTAACTGATGCTATTATGAGGGGTATAAAAACACTACTGGCAGCCAACTCCGATGAGTGCAAAGGCCGCTCCATTCACAGTCGCAAGAGTAATGACGGTTCTCCTAAAACTTAACCCCTCATAAATCACCATGGCACACTGGACTTCTGCAGCCTGCATCGTATTGATTTATCTCCCATGTTCCCTGGGGACACTGTAAGAGCTCTCGCATGTGAACGCCAATTCCATATCCTTCCAGCGTCTTTTATTGTCCTTTTAAACTTCTTCAAGTTTCAAGTCTTCATTGTGTTTTTTTTCAGCCTGGATCAAATCAGCGGCCCGAGTATACATCATATGTTTGTTTATTTCCTGTCTGCTTACCCCAGGCCGAAGATATCGCATTACATAAAAGCACAATGATGCACGTATGCACCAGTCTCAGAGCGCTCTCCTCGGGTTCTGGATTCAGTTTCGGGGATGTGAAACCTTTTGAGGTAATTCTTCCGCTCATACATTATGGAGGGTCTTTTTTTCCTCTTCAGTTTAATTTCAGCACACAAAGTGCCCGATGAGAACTGTCATGGGCTAATGTCTTCAGAAGCAGCATCGGGGGAGCTTTGTCTGTGTGCAGTGTGAGCCGCAGTGCTTTGTGGACGATAGAGGACGGTGGAAAGAGGCGGTGTGGTTTCTAAGCATGTATCGTGTTTGTGTGAGGTAAACAGTCAGTGAACACAGGCTTCCTGATTTATTAGCTGGCAGGGGGCTTCTGGCATGTACAGAATAGAGGAAACGGCCCCTGGGAAGCTCTGTGTGTCTCTGTTTGCCTTCCAAAAGTGAACCTGCAGAACTGTATTGCTGTCGCGTTATGTGCACATGTTGCTGTTTGAATTCTCCCTGCCAGAAAGGTACTGAGGAGTAATCGCAAACTAGCGAAGCTCCTCTTTTTGGTTCTTGTAACGCAAATACTGTTTTGTTACCAGCCAGTATACACGGCTCTCTTTCTCCTTGTATTTTCTGCTGCTGTGAGCAAATGTCTGCAGCAGACATTTCTGTCGGATCCCCAATTAGCTAACTTACTCTACTGTGAAAATGTGACTGTTATTATTGTCAAAGTCGGGCTGCCGTAAGCTGTGGCAAAAAACTTAGCAGTTAATTGGTTTCCAAGGTTTATAAAAGTCCCAAATTAGTTTGTTCCTCTTCAAAACCACAGTCCATGCTCTTTATACTGGTCATTATCCCAACTCATAGAGTGAGCTGGATTAATACTCAATTGTCAAATACTCAATACTCACTTATTTTAGGGTTAAGGTTTTTGGAAATTCCCAAGCTTGTAATACAATATATCAAATTTGTTTTTGAATACGTTGTCATTGCACTCATTTGAACAGAGGGTAAGGGGCCTATATTAGCTTTTTAAAGTCCTTCCAAAATGACATATTTTGTTTCTGCTCAAACTTACCCTTCTACTCTGTAAATCAAATCTCTCCTGGGAAAAAGTCAGTTTTGGAGTCCTATCATTGGCACACAGTAGACCAACGGTGTACCTACACAGGAGACTTGTCAGTTGTTTCTGTCAGTTGTCCGCCTCATGCCCGTCTCGGGCTTTGTAACGGTTTCTGTCACCCTTTACCCGGCCCAAAGCTGCTAGCACTAATGTCGCCTTTCCAGGCTAGTTGGCTAATTAGCAAGTGTGCTGCAGCATGTTAAACAGATCAAAGCCATACCTGTAAATGTTATTTTTGGTCAGTTTACAGTGGTGTGGTCCTTCCTCATCAGAACCATTAGAACTGCATTAATGTCTTTGTGGCCTGTTAGCTGCAGCGTCAGTTGGTTTGCTTTATGTCTGCATTGCCTTGCCGGAGCTCAGCCTGCCAGTTGTTGTCAATCAAATACAGACACTTCCCTTTAGCAACTGACAAGACAAGAAAAATAAGTAAGTTTATAAATATTAACAAAAAGGGAATGACTTACTTACTCATACATCTAAGCTTTTCTAGCTATTCAATAATTATGATGCTGTTTCATATTCTTACCTAACCACAAGCCCACCTTCAAAACGTCTGTTTTACAATTGGCCTTGTTTCATTGGCTAACAAGAAGCCTGCTGTGAGTGGTGGCACTTGTGTTATGGCTGATACTGTATTTTGTCATAGGTGGTTATTATCAACAGTTTTCCCAATTCAGATTTTTCCAATAACCCTCATACAATAATCCAGGCTATTTTCACAGTGTCTCACTCGTG